TTTTTTTTTTTTCTCGATTAATCAGTGTGTGATATCAATATGACCAGATCTGATTGACTTTTTCTTTACGATTTTACTTTTTAGGTGTACCCTTTGTTCGCCGCCGTCGGCGTGGCCGTCGGAATTTGCGGGATGCAGTTGATCCGTAACATTTCTACTAATCCTGAAGTCAGGTATTTGAGTTTTTGACCTAATAATTGATTGATCTGCAGATTTAGTTTTATTTTTAATTTTTAATCTTTTTTTTTTTTTCCTTTTAATCAGGAGATTTTTGTATGCATAATTGTAGAATGAAGGCATTAGAAAAAAGTTGGAATCTATAATTATTTTTATGAATTCTTATGTTAGGTTTGTTCTCCTGATTGTGGTTGTTGGTTGGCCTTGTCAATTCTTATTTATTGATATGTGTTCTGTACTTGTTCATTCTACATTGCATAGCTCATGGATTTGGCTTATTAGTCACTTTGGTTGGATATAATATAGAACGTCGAAAAATGAAAAACGAGGAGCAATTTATGCTTAATGTGTTATGTTTTAATTTCGCCTTTCAGATGGGCATGTAATCAGCCCTATCTATAAGTTGATTGTGAAAATAAAAATGTGAAATTTAAGTCATATATTCGCTGAACATGTCAATTTTGAATTATATTTCCCCTCGTATTATCCAGGTTAAACAGGAGATCTGTGCATGTACTGTGGATTAAAAGTTAGCATTTTCAAAATATTGTTGATAAATTCTTATGTTTGGCTTGTTATCTTGATTACGATTGTTGGTTGGCCATGTAATTTTTCTTGATTTATATTCGGTATTTTTTCGTTGCTGCATTGCATAGCTCATGGTCATGGATGTGGCTTATTAGTAAATTTAGTTTTGGGTATAGTATAAAATATCTAGAAATAAAAAATGAGGAGCGATTTATACTTAACTTTAGCGGGTGGCCATGGATCAGCCCCATTTATAGGTTGATTGTGAAAAACAACAACAACAACAACATACCCAGTATATTCTCAACTGGTTGAGGTCTGGGGGGTCAGTTGTACGCTTTACGTAATTACAAGGAGGCTGTTTATGTAGCGACTCAAGGTGCATTGTGAAAATCAAGAAGGGGAATTTAAGTTCATACTATTTCATTGCTACATTGCATAGCTCATGAATATGCCTTATAACTTATTAGTCACTTTGGTTGTGTGGGTATAGTTGAAAACGACGAAAAATGAAAAATATGGAGTGATTTGTTCTTACGTGTCCCCTTTCAATTTTGCCTTTCGGCTGGCCATGGAGTCAGCCTCATCTATGGGTCGATTGTGAAAATTAAAATTGCAAATTATTATAAGTCATACATAATACAACTCCTATCATTACAAATGGCCATACATATTAGTTGAATCTTCCATGATACTCTTGCATTGTTGATGTCATTTGCCGGATCTCAGTGTAAGGATAAAATGGGGGGGTAAGATATCCTTTTCCAAAATTGTATTTCATTTCGTTTTTCATTCTATTTGATGAACGCTACGTGTCTATGATGGCATTATTGTACAATGATGGAGGTATAATAGCGCATATGTCTTATTATTATTATTATTATTAATTTTTTTTTTTTTTTACTTTCTTCCGAACATGACAAATGATCTCATATCTTGAATGTAACTAATAATAATCTTAGCTCCTTGTATCGAGTTTGAATGATGATCTTTGTTCGTGTATTTGCAAAATGTAGGGTGACCAAGGAAAACCGAGCTGCTGGTGTGTTGGATAACTTTGCAGAAGGGGAGAAGTATGCCGAACATTCTCTTAGGAAGTTTGTTCGCAATAGGGCTCCGGAAATCATGCCAGCCATTAATAGCTTCTTTAGCGACCCTAAGTATTAAATTCTTGAAGATGTGATGAGCTTCCTCTGGAGAAAGTATCGATACTATTGAAAATTGCATTTTTAGCTCTGGTGTGGAGATCAGAGACTCAAATAAACTTGATATATTGTCAGCGAACAATTTTTAGTCTTACTTTATATGATTTTTGTGACAAGGACCTGGGTTTTCGGGTTTTTGTTTCTTGCTTATTATCAGCTTCGACATACTGCGTTCTCCAAGCTTCAGCAAATTGTTTGAAAAGCTCATATTTGATATTAACTTCAATCTTGTATTAGTATGTGTGAAAATAGAACGGCATACCAAATGCATTCTATTCATGTTATATTTTGTAGTAAACAATGATCAATGTTGTTATGAAGCAAATTTAAACAAGACGAAGTCCACTGGGAGACCATAATAAACAGAAATCGACGCCTAAAGAAGTCTTCACATTGCAACGTATTTCACAGGACACGACATCGTTTTCAATTTGCCCGTGGCACAAGTAATACAGAGTCTGACTCTGGTCAAGGTCAATTATCAAATTTATTTACAAAAAAAAAAAAAAAAATAGTAAGGCAAATAATTATGACATGCCAAAACGAGGCCAGCATGTGCTCATCTGTAGCTTTATATGTGCAGCTTCACAATGCAGCAGTATGTAAGTAAAATACAGGGAGAGAAGCAATTGCATGGATATTTTCCTCTTCGTTTTTGCTCTTCTGCTGCAAATACATATCAGCAGTAACATACCTTTGTTAGCAACAGTTCCAGTTGTGAACTCCACTCCACTACCGACCAAAATACGCTTCTCGAATTCAAAAACACGATACACCAAACACAAATATATGAGTCACAGCCCTAAAGATAGGACCACACCGAAAACACAACACTCATAAGTCACAATAGCATCTATCAGATTCAACCAAGTTTGTAAAAAACAGAAAAAAAAAAAACCCATAACCATCCAAAATCCAATTCAAAAAACACCAAAAAGGATCATTCAACTACAATGAAACTCTCAACAGTACATCAGAAAAAACTAAATCAAAAACTAGTCTTCTTCAAATCCTTACCCAGTCATGTATAACATAAAAAAAATAACCAAAAGAAAAAAAATATATATATATATATTTAAAAACCCCCTTTTCCCTGCAAACCTTACTGGTCAACCGTAGTTACCTCTTGCCACTCTCCATCAACAGCCTCCTTCCACAGAGTAACATTCTTGTCACCACCAGAGGCATTCTTGTCACCATCAGAGGCCACGGCCAGCAAATTCCCAGTCAACGACCAAGAAACCCTCCAAACGGGAGCCTTGAAGTCCTTCAAGACCTTTCCTTCCCACTGCTCTCCCTCCTTCCCCACAGTCCATATCACAACCGTCCCATCCTGAGAACCACTAGCAATCGTCGATTTTGGGAGGCCCAAATTTGGGGCCCACGACACATCCCGAACCCAATCCGAGTGCATTTGTAAGGCCGGGAAGCAGTCCATCTTCCAGTTCCCATTGTCCAGCTTCCAAATCCGAACCGTATTATCACACCCGCCCGATGCCAGCTTCTGGACGGGCTCCGACCCGTCGGGCCCAACAAGGGCCAGCGCCGGGGCCCACGTGACGGAGGTCACCCCGACTGGGTGGGCCCGCTCGATCCGGGTGGTGTCCCATCCGCCGCCGTCGGGCCGGGCCGTGTGGACTGAGATGCTGCCGTCTGACGAGGCACAGGCGAGGCAGAGGCCGAGCTCGTGTGGGGCCCACGCGATGGAGTTGACCGAGGACTTGTGGTCGTCGAACGAGTGGGACTGAGTCCACTCGTTTTGGGAGACTTCCTTCCAGATGATGACTCGGCCGTCGTACGAGCATGAGGCGAGGGCCGACCCGAACTTGGGGTGGGCCCACGCCACCTGCCAAACGGGCCCACGATGGCCCGTTAGGGTTGCTAGGTGCTGGGAAGTGGAGTTGTGGCCGAGTCCAATGATCTTTATGGTGGAGTCGGACGAGGCGGTAGCCACGCGCTTCCCGTAGTAGTCCATGGACACGTCATGGATGATGTCATTGTGGCCGGTTTCGATCTTCTGTGCGGGCATCTTGTCGGCTGCAAGGGTATAAGTTATAACCACACAGTGTCACAAAAATTTCTTACTTACTTTTTTTTTTCCTGAATAAAATTCTCCAATTTCATACTATCACTACCCCAAACCAAACAAATTCAGGTCATGTGTCAATTATAAGGGTGAATTTCACCTGATCCACGGGGTTTTCAATTGTTGGAGGCTAGTTGAGAAAGGGAAAATGTATAGAACCTTTCAAAGAGAGACCTCTTTCAACTCTCTCAACAAAATGGAATCAACTCCAAACACACAGTCATGGTTACTTCGACAGGGTACAAACACATAAAGTGGATTTTAAGATACATTTTCAGAACCATTACCCAGATACCGATACTAAGTCTAAATAAAAAAAAAAAAATTGTATCCGTTTTTCATGTATGGATCAGGGATCATGGCGAATTGTTTGTTCAGGGATCATCAACACGTACCCGAAAAGTTGAAGATTGCGTAAGGCTAAAACAATACAATATTGCAGATACAAAGGGGAGCGACAGACAATCAAAATCAGACTAAAAACCCGTACGATAAATAATTTAAGCAAGTTCTTGTTCAGGATAAATTAGACCCTCTTTATCTCACAAAATTAGCAACCCGAGAACCTAATTCTACACGGTGTTTAAATCAAATCGAACAAAGCCCCAATCTACCACATATAATCATATACAATCACATATGAGCATAAAAGAAAACTACAAAACCAGAATCACGTTATGCTGAATCAACTATACAATCAGCAAAAACATCGTGAATGCTGTAATTTTCTTCGAAAAACTAAATTCTAAAACGTAAACCTAGGACGAACAAGAAGCTAATTCAACACAATTTCGAAAACATTAAGAAACTAAATCAATCAGATCCAACACTTTGTTTGATCTCAGATCTCAAATTGCACAATATGATTACAAAATAAGGTAGAAATCGGGAAGTTAAATGAAATTTACAGTGAGAAACAAAACCTAATTCATCCATTGAAAACAAAAAAGGGCCTTACCGGTGAGATGAGGCTCGGATTCGATCGATTGGAGGCGCAGATAGCAGCTGAGTCTTTGAGAAGAAGACGAAACGGCGAAGCTCAATGCAACGGTGGAAGGAACTGTAACTGAGCTCAACTCAATTGAACGGTGAGATTTGGCATCAAATGTGAGGGTATGTTTAGTTATTGTATTTAATTGGTGCCAACTCGTGCCCCGACCCGCCGACCCGTGAACAGGCCCCGGACCGGTTCAAGCCAGGCCGAGGTCGTTGCGCACCATAAAGCTTGTGGCTTTTCATCAACCAATGATTCGACAACTGAATCATTAAATCAATAGCTTGATTGGTTCGATGTTTGATTCGATTTTGAGAATATTTGATAAAATTATATTTTCTCTGATTTTATCTAAATGTCATTTTAGATTTATCTCCAAGTAATTAGCGGTGGATAAGAGCACTTGGAAGATAACAATCAATGTGACTTTTACAAATAATGAAATAATGAATTCGTCCATTTGTTTTGTTGGCATAGTTTCACAATTGTGTAGTCATTGTTTCACCTTGTTATTTATGTAACATGAAAACAAAATATCTTTGATGACGCTTATAAGGGCGCGAGTAACAGATCAAAATCAAATTTAGTTGGATCCTAAGTTAAACTGATTTAATTTTAAATAAATTAGTTGATTGAGTGGTGATTTTTGTAAGATTTCGAGTTCGTATTTAAATAATACTTAAGTGATAGCTAGTTAAAGATACGTGAATGAATGAATAGTGAATCAATTTGATGTGATGTTTAATAATGATTAATTAATATTATGTAACTAGTACAACACCCGTGTATTACACGGGTGCTTGCTAATTTTTTTTCTTAAAATTTAAAATTAATGAGAAAAAGTAGTTTGAAAATTTAAATACATTTTATAAGAATATATGATATCCAAAAAAGCCGTAGCCAATTCACATCCTCTGATCTCTCTAACGAGACCTAGAAGCGAACCGGAGAGGTGAGTCCATTTCTTATGTCATAAACTTCGTTCGATCTACTAAAAGGAAAGTAGCTCGATTGGAATTTCAATGTGCAAATCGTCGGCCCATATTCTCAAACTTACTTCTGATTGGTTTCATTCATCCCCAACCGAATGGACTATGAAGGGGTCAGTCAAGCGGTTCGGGTTACTCAGTTCCTTTTCGTGATAACTTCATTCTTGGTCCGGTGGGTTAGAAGCATAATAAGAGATTCCCCATCCCGGAATGAAGATTAATGTTTGAATAGTCTTTTCCCGAGCCCAAGGATATAGAAAGCATCTTATATTTATTATGATACTTTTTATTTGTGCGACTTACTTGTGTTATATTATACTAATTTTTTAACTTACACTATATAACTACATTAAATATAAATATATCAATTGATAAATAATTTTATTTTTCTAATGAATTTTAATAAATATTATAATTTTTTATTATTATAAAGATAAATATAATTTATTTATTTTATATATACAATATGAATGTCAAATCGAAGATCATCAAAAGATGATTAATTTGATATATATTATATATGTAAAACCGATAAGAAATACAAAAGTTATCTACTTTTAAAATACATTTATAATTCAATAGCTTATTGAAGGAAGCAAATCAAAATTTAGGGATATATTAGTCACTTAGTGTCTCACTATGTAAAAATATAATAATAAAGGGTTATATTAGTAAAAGTGATATTAAAATACCTAAGTTAGCTAAATAATATTTATGGAATACCCGAACCTAGATTATTAATTATTAATATATTAATATTATTTGTCGAAACCTAATTACGAAGCATGATTCTTCGCCAAATAAGACTTTGAAACACCAGAAACAGCCACGTAGGCTCAGCGCATTCTGGAATTATATATAGGGAGGAAGGATTATATTGATAATATTGAGAAGAATTGGAGTTGGATTAAATTTAAATTTAATTTTGTGTTAAATTAAGTACAAAAATTAAATAATCGGTCAAAACCTATCTTGATCCGTTTCCATAGACACGACCCACGCTGTTTTGAACCTCGCGTACAAAATAAAAAAATGGTTGAAATTAGAAAACTGGTCTATGGTTGAAAAATGTAACATAATCCTCTTTTAAAGGGAGACTAATTATGGTTATAGTAGCATCTTAATATAGAGATATTATAATTAAAAAAAAAAACAAAGGGATTTTTTTTGTTTGACATGGTTCACTTTTAAAATAATGGTATGATTACTTGTTAGTGTGATTTTGAGTTTATATTAGAATAATGTTTAAAATAAAATAATTAAAGTTGATTTAATGTAAATAGATAATATGTGATGTGAAGTGATTGTTATTTAAATTATGTGAATGAGTGAATAATGAATTAAAGTCGATAATATGTAAGAATGATTGATAAATGTTATTTAATCAACCCGCGACAACTTCACGAAAAAAAAAAGTTGAGTTATATTTGAATTAAAATGAGTAATTGAGTAAAAATAATTGAATATTTTTTTAATAATTTTGTATCCAAGCATCTCTTTTTTTTTTGGGTACAGGGACATTCCGGTTTCCGAATCCACAGGGGAACCGATTAATCCGGAATCGAGCCGGGTAGGACCACAAGGGCGGCAAATCTCTCCCTCAAGAGTTTTAACACTGTTGCATTCTCAAGGCTCGAACACGAGACCACTGGTTAAGCTGGAAGAGACTCAAACCATCTCATCAAGCGGTATTGAGTTTTCAAGTATCTCTTTAAATCAACTACCTAATTTTGTCATGCATTTATGGTTTTCACGCGTAAAAAGAAAGCCTATCTATGCGTTTGGCTTATTTGAAATTGTGCCATTGCATAATGAGTTGTTGCCCATTCGATATAGAAAACTATTGAGACAGCTCCACGCATTGCACTATCAGTTGTCAACTCTTATATTTTTCATTTAGTTAGAAAATTATTTTGCTCCACAAATTCTATTAATACATATTTTAATTGTATTTATTTTATTTTTTTTGTGACAGTTTCATTAATGAAGTAATTAACTAATTACTACATATTTTTATTTTATATCACATAATAGTTATTATTAACTAATAAAGTCACATTAAATAATGTTTTATTCTAAAATATTTGTTCAAACTATTTTTAAATTTTTTTTTTTCAGGTCATTAAGCAAGTTTTTTTGTTTTTCTTAGTACAACTAGTTGATTATATTTCATAGCATAACGAAATCCCTTAAAATTCAGTACACGATTGCTTTAATAATAATTTTAATATTATTTTATCTAATTAATTGAGAAAATCAGCTAAGATTGCAAAAATTATATTATTACAATCAATATAAAGAGTAATATAAGTTAAGTAGCTTATATTTATTTCAGTTATTTTTGCTAATAATAAAATTTATAAAATATGATATGTTCATTATATAAATTATGATTTTAATGTTACATACACATATATAATAAATAAAATTTTATTTCTATTTGTATGAAAGCCTAGTATCCCCCTATATATTAATACAGAATGCGCTGAGCCTACGTGGTTGTTTCTGGTGCTTCGGAATCCTATGTGGCAAAATTACATGCTTCGTTATTAGGCTTGGGTAATTTTTAATTTAATTCCAAACAAAAAATAATTAGGTTCGGATTATCATAAATATTGTTAATGTTATCTGTGTAACAGATTTGGTGAAGATCAAGTGCACGAGAGAGAGAGAGAAAAGGAAAAATTGTATTGCATAATCTGAGAATGAAAAGTTCAAGTGTAAAGTGTTAACCTTAGGTATTTATACCTAGGGTTTCCTTATAGCAAAGGTGTAATACCATTCCTATACAAAAAGTGCTAATGCTATAAAGAAAAACGTGTTACAAATATAATGTGTAAAATACATATTCTAACACCCCCCCTCAAGAGGGGCATGGATATTCATCATGCCCATCTTGCAAATATTGGACTGAAAGGGTTGAATCCCTAAGGGTTTGGTGAGAATGTCAGCAACTTGGTCTTTGGAAGGAACAAACTTCAAATCAATGATGCCTTTTGCAAGCTTTTCCCTCACAAGGTGGCAATCAATCTCAATGTGCTTGGTCCTTTCATGTTGAACTGGGTTGTTAGCAATAGCTAAAGCTGATTTACTATCTGAAAATATAATAACAGGACAAGAATGAGAAATTTTT